ATTGAAGAATTTGGGTGAACTTCACAAGGAATGGACTGAGGCTGGGTTCAAGGCATCAAGGGCCACCACACACTGCCATGTCGAGGAATTTGGCCACAGTTGTTGTATTCCTCTTGTCAAGCCACTCTTGAACCACAGACAACGTCAGAGGTGTCTTAGGTGGGCTAAGGAGAAGAAGAACTGGACTGTTGTCCAGTGGTTCAAAGTCCTCTTTTCAGATGAGAGCAAGTTTTGTATTTCATTTGGAAACCAAGGTCCTAGAGTCTGGAGGAAGGGTGGAGAAGCTCATAGCCCAAGTTGCTTGAAGTCCAGTGTTAAGTTTCCACAGTCTGTGATGATTTGGGGTGCAATGTCATCTGCTGGTGTTGGTTCACTGTGTTTTTTGAAAACCAAATTACTGCACCCGTTTACCAAGAAATTTTAGAGCACTTCATGCTTCCTTCTGCTGACCAGCTTTTTGAAGCTGCTGATTTCATTTTCTAGCGATTTGGTGACTGCCCACACTGCCAAAAACACCAAAAGTTGGTTAAATGGCCATGGTGTTGGTATGCTTGACTGGCCAGCAAACTCACCAGACCTGAACCCCATAGACAATCTATGGGGTATTGTCAAGAGGAAAATGAGAAATGAGAAACAAAATAATGTAGATGAGCTGAAGGCCACTGTCAAAGAAACCTGGGCTTCCATACCACCTCAGCAGTGCCACAAACTGATCAACTCCATGCCACACCAAATTGAGGCAGTAATTAAAGCAAAAGGAGCCCCTACCAAATATTGAGTACATATACAGTAAAAGAACATACTTTCCAGAAGGCCAACAATTCACTAAAAATGTTTTTTATAGGTCTTATGAGGTATTTTAATTTATTGAAATAGTGAATTGGTGTTTTTTGTTAAATGTGGACCAAAATCATCACAATTAAAAAACCCAATGGCTTAAACTACCTCAGTCTGTGTGTACTGAATTTATATAATACACGAGTTTCACTATTTGAGTTGAATTACTGAAATAAATGGACTTTTCCACAATATTCTAATTTATTGAGATGCATCTGTATGTTGGAGATGGTACACATTCTGAGCTTTGGGTCATATGTGACATGATTGTTAGGGTTTTGGACTTGCTTCCTGTGTTTTGTTTTTTTTTGTGTGTGTTTTTTGTGTCACATCTGTTCTTTTTCCTCGGTGGATAAATGAGGCAAATAACACTGCTTCTGTTCACTAGTGGGTCAACAACTTCGATGTCACCCCTGTTCCTATTCCCATGGGGAAGTTAATGAGGTCAATGCCACCACCACGCCTGTCCATGAAGGGATCCAGAACTCTACCGCTGTTCCAGTTCCCATGCCTCACTGGGTCAATAACAATGTCACCTTCCCATTGCTTGTGTCCCAGTGGGTCGATGGAGATGCTGCCTCTGGCCCTGACTCATGATGGGTTGATGACGACACCACCATTCCAGCCCCAGTGTTTCGGTGGGTCACCGGTGATGCCACTGCTCCAGTTTCTGCATCTTGGTGGGTCAACGGCAACATCACCGCTTCAGTTTCTGCATCTCGGTGGGTCACCAGCAACATCACCGCTCCTGTTCCTATAGCTTGGAGGGTCACCAGTGACACTACCTTTCCATTCCCTGTATCTCGGTAGGTCATGAATGATACCACATCTGTCTGAGTCCTGGTGGGTCACCAGTGATGCCACTGCCCTAGTGTTCCTTCTGAACAGCCTTTTTGGCTTCTTGCCTGGTCCCGAGATTGTCCGCCAGATTGGCCTCTTCATAATCCTGGTTGGTCTTGAGGTTGTCCACCAGAGTAGCCTCTGCTGTTTCCTGTTTGGTCCTGAGATCATCCTCAATACTGTCCTCATTCCTTTACCTGGTCTTTCAATCACCCCAAGGGTGGCTGCACTCAGCCCATTTCAGTGGCCACATCTTTGGACTATGGACCTTTCTGACGGTTTTGGTTTTTGTTCGTGAAATGAATTACAACAGGTAGCATAGCACCAACAATAACATCCTGGAACAGTAGAATCATTTTGTTAACACACATCACACACAGCGGACACATTAGCCTCAATCAGTCAAAACAAGCAGGTACTGTGCTGCAGGGATTTGTAGTCATTAAGAGGACACAGTGACATTCATGATTACCTCTGTGCTGATCATTTACCACCTCATTCACAGGCTGGCTGCTCAGTCAGGTAAAACAAGGAGTCCCTGTACAGGAACATTTCCAGACATGCAGTAACCTCAGGCTCTGTATTTTTCTCCACACCCTCTGGTCACAGTGCAGCAGGAAGTAAGATATATCCACAAATACAGAAATACAGGCTTCTCTACAAAAAAAGCGATGTGGCTGTTTCAAGATGCACAATAAGGACAAGAAGTGGACTGCATGCTCGAGTTACCAGAAAACAGCCATTGCTGTAGAAAAGCCACAAAACAGCCCACTTATAATATTCCAAACCTCACTAATTTTGGAACAAAGTCATTTGGAGTGATGAGAACAAAATTGAACTTTATGGTCATAACCATAAACGTTTTGTTTGGAAAAGAGTCAACAAGGCCTATGAAGAACATTTCATCACCGTCAAGCATGGAGGGGATCTCTGCTGTTTTGTTTTGGGTTTTTTTTGTCAAGGGGGCGGTGAACTGCAGTAGCACAAGGCAGTCAGTCAACATTGCAAAATTGATGGCAAGATGAATGCAGCATTTTATCAAAAAATATTAGAGGAAAATTTGCATTCATTAGCTGCATTTGGACTTTCCAGAATGACAAGGATCTGAAACACAAAGTTGACCCTTTAGTGGCTGCAGCAGACCAAAGTGAAGATTCTGGAGTGGCCATTACAGTATCCTGACCTCAATATCATTGAGCCACTTTGGAGAAATCTCAAACATGCAGTTCATGGAAGACAACCCAAGAATTTAAGGGATGTGTAAGCTTTTTGAGAATGGGCAGCATTACATCTAAGCATCTTGTTTTCTTTTTTGTTATGCTCTGCTTAATGATTATGTAGCAGAAATGACTACACTGTCAATTGCTATAAGCTATAGACTTTAATTTGGTGACTAATAACTACGGTTTGCATGAGACATCAGTTAGCCAGAATGCACTTATCTGTTAGCAGAAGTTAGCCATTTAGCTTTGGAGATTCCACATGGCCAGAGTGAGTGAGAGTGTGTGCTAAGTCAGTTTATAGCACTTTCACATTCTTGTGTAGAGATAAGGGAGGTTTCCTTTGCATTCTTGTGTTTCATTACACTGAAAACTGATCAGATGTCTAGGAAGCAATTGAAATTTATTGCCAAAAGTCAAAGGTGTGATGGCAGGGCTGTGCATTCTAATGCAAGAAAGTACAAGGACAGGGGGTTTGTGGTCTCTGGAGACAGGATCTGGGATCTCCATCTGATAAGGAGAGACAGTCCAGAGAACAGTGGAAGTCTTCTGCTTGGCTCTCAATGCCTAGAAGCAAAGTCTAATATGTTAATTATGAATATTATTGCAACTTTTTTGTAATCCAGCTTCCAAAGCCAACACAACTTAATTCAGTACATTAGTAGCCTACCTTTGTTAGCCAGAATGGCAAATTCTTTAAGTGTAAAATAAACCACATTAGTTTTATCTTTTCTCTATCTGCTGTTGTTTTTAATATAGTATAGTATTATTATAGTAATCTATTCTGGATTACTATATGATTACTATATGGATTATTAAGTATGATTACAACAAATATGATCACTCTCAAAACAGAAAATCTATCGAGACATCAAGTGTTTCTTAGTGTTTTTCTCAGGTCTTAAAAGAATGATGAAACATTTTGGGGCAAAAATGCAGAGCAGTAAACCATAGCTAGAGGCAAGAATTGCAAAGATTTCCACAGCAACAACATACTTCCCAGGAGAGCTAATGTAAGCTGGGACAAAGGTCACCCAGACAACACAGAAGATCAGCATGCTGAACGTGATCAGTTTGGCTTCATTGAATTTATCAGGAAGTTTCCGAGCCAGAAAGGCCAAGAGGAGGCAGGTGCAGGCCAGCAGGCCAATGTAGCCCAGTACCAGTGAGAAGCCCACCACAGAGGCCATGGCACACTTCAAGGTGACCTTTGACCCTTGGAAACCCAAATCATGTTTAGGCACTGGGGGGCTGAGGAAAAGCCAGGTGGCACAGATAATAACCTGCATGCAAAGTGCACATATTTCTTTGTTATTATTTAATATCAACTGAAGATTCTGATACAAAAATAAGATGTTCTCATCATTTAATGACTAGAACAGTATTCCCACCTGTATACAGGTGAAGAGGCAGACACTTCCTCTCTGCTGGAGCGGCCCAAACCATTTCATCAAGGCTTCAGCACCAGGCCGAGCTGAGCGGAAAACTGCCAGAACCACTATGGTTTTTACCAGAAGGCAGGAAACACAAAGAACAAAGCTGATCCCAAATGCTGCCTGCTGGAGCCGACAAGACCAGACTGATGGACGACCAATGAACACCAGTGAGCACAGGAAGCAGAGCTTCAGTGACAGAAGAAGCAGGAAGCTCAGTTCTGAGTTGTTGGCTCGCACCTTGAGGGAAACCAAATTAACAGCCACAGATGTGGTCAGTTAAAGAGTTAGAGACTTTTTTTTTATTCTTCATAGTCAATAAAATTAAAGAAAGAAATGCAACATACTCTGTTACATTATGCTGGGCTCTTACCACAGGTGAGTGACGATAGTAAAGAAACACCACAAACACAGCTGTTGTCACCATGGCACCCGACACAGCTGCTGTAGTCAGGGTAATACCCAAAGCTTCATTAAAGGAAAGGAAGTCCAGCTGGGGAGGGATGCAGGCAGTTCGTTCAACGTTGGACCAGAACTCAGATGGACAACGCTCACAGTGAAGGGAACCTGGAAGAGGAAGGCACACAAAATCAGGAAGGAGAAAAAACTTGGGAAAAATGTAGATAAGCTGAAAAGCATTATAAAAAATCATGACTAATGCCTATTGAAAGTTGTGGAGTTACTGCAGTGGTGACTGTATAAACTATTTATAGGAACACCTTATGTTTCCTCACCAGTTTTGTTGCTAATCTCCCCTTCAGCACATGGGATACAGTCAAAGCAGCAGACAGGTTCCCCTTTCCTGTTGGCCATTCGGGTACCTGGGGGGCAGCTCTCACTGCACACTGAAACAGGGACCTATACAATAAACCAACCCATAATTAAGTCAAAGTAAATGTATTCTCAACAGCATAATATCAATCTATAAAAAACTTTGAAGTGATATAAATCAGCATTATTTTCCTAAATGATACCTGACTGGATCCTGTGTTCCATTGAATAGCTGACTCATTAAGGTGAATGTCAAACCCATTCACACGACCAAACACAACAAGCTTCAGTGACCCCTCAGGGGTCTTCTGCCAGTTGACAAGGTCATACTTAGCTGGAACATCAGCCCCTTGAAAGTAAAACATTTCACCCTGTGGCGTGGTGAAATTTACACTGTTCAAGTGCTGAAACAACTGTAAAATCCACAAAGTATTGAAACAGGTCACATTGTATTGACAGAGCCTGTGTAACATAATATTTGTCACAAATGTATTTTGGATTGGAAAGACTGATAATTATACCTCAATGGGTTGGATGTTATAGTCAATAAAATTAAAGAAAGAAATGCAACATACTCTGTTACATTATGCTGGGCTCTTACCACAGGTGAGTGACGATAGTAAAGAAACACCACAAACACAGCTGTTGTCACCATGGCACCCGACACAGCTGCTGTAGTCAGGGTAATACCCAAAGCCTCATTAAAGGAAAGGAAGTCCAGCTGGGGAGGGATGCAGGCAGTTCGTTCAACGTTGGACCAGAACTCAGATGGACAACGCTCACAGTGAAGGGAACCTGGAAGAGGAAGGCACACAAAATCAGGAAGGAGAAAAAACTTGGGAAAAATGTAGATAAGCTGAAAAGCATTATAAAAAATCATGACTAATGCCTATTGAAAGTTGTGGAGTTACTGCAGTGGTGACTGTATAAACTATTTATAGGAACACCTTATGTTTCCTCACCAGTTTTGTTGCTAATCTCCCCTTCAGCACATGGGATACAGTCAAAGCAGCAGACAGGTTCCCCTTTCCTGTTGGCCATTCGGGTACCTGGAGGGCAGCTCTCACTGCACACTGAAACAGGGACCTATACACAAACCCAAAAAGGATTCAGAATAAAAAAGAGGCATATTTGTTAATAGCCTTGAGACAGTTTATTGATCTGTTTACCTGATTGGATCCTGTGCTCCACTGAATAGCTGACTCATTAAGGTGGATGTCAGTTCCATCCACACGACCAATCAAAACGAGTTTCAGGGGCCCCTCAGGAGTGTTCTGCCAGTTGACAAGGTCATACGTTGCTGGAATGTCAGCACCATGGAAATAAAACATGTCCCCTTGTGGTGTGGTGACGGTCACATTGTTCAAGTGCTGCAACAGCTGAAAGCATCAAATGTGAGAAACTGCTGATATTTCACTATATGAACACTGCATTTACTGTATCATATTCAGTTCATCAAAACATTAACAACAATCACTGTAGTCATTAAGAGGACACAGTGACATTCATGGTTACCTCTATGGGCTTGATGTGTTTTGGAGAGGAACAAGA